TTAAAATATTTTTCAAAAAATTTAAATGTAATTTTTGTCAAAAAACCTCTGATTCGTAAAACAATAGGTAAGACAATACTATAATACCTAGTTTAATTAAGAGAGGATTATCTACCTGTCCGTCCGTCTATCCGTCCGTCCGTCTCTACGTCCGTCCGTGTGTCCGTCCGTCTGGTGTCTGTGAACAATATTAGCGCCTAAACCATACGTAGGATGTTTTCCAAAATGAAGAAACCTATGTCAATCTGGCTAGAGTCGAAAATTTGAGATTTTGAAACACATTCTTCAAAATTTGGGGGTACTTTACATGACATTTTCAAATTTTTCTCAGAAACTGCTCCAAACTATTTCTTTAAATTTATTGTAAGAAAAGAGTAAAATACATTTATGAAGGTGGCGTAGGTCCCATTTTCACGGTTAACTCTGAATTTTTGAAAATTTCAAGAGTGTGAATTTTTTTCGATGTCTCCCAACAACTACAAAATTAAAGATAGATATTTTTCCTTCAAATACAATTTGTTCTCTACAGTAAGTTATTTTATTAAGGTCATTTACTTCTTTCAAAATTGTAGTAGTTCTCGCGCAATATTACGTGAAAAATGTTCAATTTAAAAAAAAAGATTTTCTCAAAAACAAGTCCAAATATTTTCTTTAAATTTTCGGTCAGGATAGTGCTAAATGTCCTCTAAAAGATGACATAACCCCCTTATTGCTCTATTCTGTTGTTTTTTCAAAAATTACAAAAATTTAATATTTTTTTACTTTTCTCTCATGTTAATATTTATACTAGCGAAAATTTGTTATCAATATTGTATTTATGGATATATGTGCTTTAAATAATGTCTTATAAAGTTTCTCGAAAACGTAATCGTTTTCTATGAAAACTAGCTCAAACATACGCATTATCAGAAATGCTCAAATACCATTTTCTCAAAAACGGCTGCAATTTTTTTCTTCAAACATTTTGAACGGATAGTGGTAATTGCACTCTTTAAAATTACGTAAAGCTTTATTTTTTTTCAAAACTTGCACAAATGTAAATTTTTTAAAGATCTCTCACGTCGTAGGCACATTTCCAACTATTTCGTCACTATTATATCTGAGAGTTATAGCAGTTATAGTACTTAAAATGGATTTCAAATGAAGTTTTTCGAAAACTCAAAAGTTTGCTGTGAAAAAGTTTCAATTTTCCAATTTTTAGTACTGTTTAAAAGAAGTTTTTTAAAAACCGTTCGAAATTTTTCAAAGAAAATTGCCATATAAGACGAGGTTTTACTGTTCTTTAATAAACTTAAAATAATATTTCCTGTCTACAATTAGGAAATCGAAAAATTAAGAAAATGTCAACAAATTGTAATTTGGGCGGCGATATATTGCAGCTGTCAGCAGAATGTGGCAAGTCCGAACAGCTAGCTGAGACCAAAGGAAATAGGAAACTAATACGGGAAATGAAATAATTATGAGTCGTCATTGCCAACAATATTGTTTATTACAATAGCAGCTACGACTATATAGTCGTTTTGTGGCTTCCATACAGCAGAAAACTGATAATGATGGCTAAGTCATCGAAAGCTGCTATTATAATAAACAATATTGTTGGTAATGACGACTCATAATTATTTCATTGTAAATATCAACGAAAACGCACCACAATACCAGTATACTACGGGAAAGTCAGTGTAATTCTGTAGCACCAGTTGTTTTTATTTTGAAATCGAAAACTCAATTGAAACTGATCTCCCTTCGTTTACTATAAATTTGTTTTTAAGGAACGAATTTAACACATCGAATATTGTACTATTTACTGTTTGTTTTTTGCAATGAATATTCGTATCATCCGCAAAGATAACTATTCTTTCCGTTTCGAATCGTCGTGGGCATAACATTTATGTATAGTAGGAAGATACTATGTCTAAAATCGAACCTTGCGGAATCCCATGTGTAATTGGCAATGAATCGAAAAGGTGTGAGTATAATGATCCACCATTCCAGTACACTCTGAAATCGTTAAGATACGAACATAATCAATCCAGAGCAATATCACAGATTCCATACGAAGGTCATTTTGAAAGTAAAGTTTTTAATTCATCAACGTCAAAAGCTTTTGAAAAAACCAAAAAAAATCCCCCTTTGTGCTTCATTTTGATCCAGTGTTGAAGCGAAATCTTTAAGAAATTGTTGTTTCTGTGGATTTCGATTTTGTAAATCTATGTTGTCAAGCTAAAAACTCTTCGTATTTACTGAGATTTCCAAACGAACGTAAAAATAATTCTATAATATTTTTTTAAAAAGTTGACAAAAGGGAAACTGGTCGACAATTTTGAATTTCATTTTTGTGGCCCTTTTTGAAAAGCGGTTTAATCTTAGCTGTTCTGAAAATAATTGGGAATGTTCCGGTGCGTGAATTAAATGTGTGAGTTAATGGGTGCACAATGACAGGGGCACATGTCGCTGCTGTACTTTGAAACTGGCACAATTCAAAAAATACCAATTTCACAGGAGCTACTTTTTAAAATTGTAACAAAAAGTAAAAGCTTGGTAACTTGATAGAGGCACATGTGTCATTTAGCGCTACTAACTACTAACGAACTACTAACTTCAGAAATATGCCGGTTTACGGAAAAATCTTCGCTAAGGAAGTACTTTTTTGCAGAAAACACAAAAACAAACTTTTTTAGTTGCGCCACTATCAAAGCAAAGCAGTGATCTCGTGGGCTGCCGTGAGAAGCATAACGTGATGTACACTGAATTGATCAGTACCGTATGGCTTCGAGCATCAACAGTTGATTCTCAGTCATGATGAGTTAGCTTTAGCTCAGCCAGAAGGTTCATCATTACCGTGACTATTGCGGCAGCCTGCATGTTAAAAAAGAATTCGGAAATTCATCTAATCCAGCGAATATTTATTTTTTGGTTTCTCGATAATTTTATGAATTTAATTGGAAGAAGCTTCGTAAACAAACATTGTGTTTTTTAAACGTTGATATCGAATTTTGAGGCTAAAAACCATAGTGAGATCTGCAACAGTAGTCGAAAAAAAATTGAAGATACTGGCCATGGCTGCCAGATCGTTCACTTCTCAGTCATTACGTACATTCAGAAACAATATTATCTACAAGGTTTCAAGTTGCAAAGCAGCATGACATTCGACAATGTTCGAAACAAAATGTGTAACATCATGGACAGAAGAGGAAATCCCAAAACATTATTGACGTTATTAAGAACATACGCAATGTGTATGCAATGGTACACAAATTATCAGAAAGAAAGATAATGAAGAGATCCTTCACGAAAAAAATAATACAATTGCGTGATCTGGGCTGTCCGCCGCGTCGAAGGCTGTGATGCCGACGTTTCGACCATCTTGTCGTAGTCTTCCTCAAGGCTGGTATGACCACGACAATGAGACAATGACAGACAATGGGAAAAATTAACAGACAGCTCTCAATTACCACGGATAGGAGAATATAACCTACAAATCTCAGTAGACAAAACCAAGTCCATTACTTTACAAAGTAGCTTTCCTTTAAGATGTAAACTGATAGTTCAATGATAAAATCACCGAACAAGGCGGCATATTTAAGTTCCTAGATTGTAATAATTCCTACATAGGAGCAATTGATGTCCAAAGGAAAGGATATCATTTTTATAATATGTAAGAAATATTTAAAATAACCCTAACAACAAGGCAAGGAAATACATCTTCCAAAAAATTTATAAACCATTGTGCCAACTGTTCTCTACGAAGGAGAAACTTGGGTACTGAATAAAAATATTGTTGCATAATTCAAGCTTCTGATATGCGATTTGAGAGTTCACTATCCACACCAAAAGTTTAAAGAAAAATTTGGAGCCGTTTTTGAGAAATTTTGTTTTTGATATTGTTTAATATTGCACATATTTCACTCAAAATGGCGCGAAAACTAATAAATTTTTCAAAAAATGTACACGACCTTAATGAGAGGACTAATTTTGAAGAACAGGTTTCATATGAAGGGAAAATCGTTATCGTCAATTTTGTAGTAGTAGGATGACGGCGAAAACATTTCAAACTTTGGCAAAATTCAAAAATTCAGAGTTAACAGAGAAAATCAGACATATGCCATCTTTTTAAGTACATTTTACACTATTGTTACTTGAAAGTACAAGAAAAAAAGGAGCATTTTTTGAGAAAATTAAAAATGTCTCAGAAGCTTTATACAAAATACTCCCAAAAATTGATGAATGTTTTGCAAAATCGCAGAACTTCGAGTGCAGCCAAATCGACAGGAGTTTATTCAGTTGGAAAAAAATCCTATGCACAATTTAGGCACTAGTATTGTTCACAGACCGACGGACGTTTTGGAAAACAACAGTATTCTGTATCAGGGGACCGCAAAACGTATTTTCTTTGAAATCTCGAAATCGATTTTTCGCAGCATTACATTACTTTCTCTGTACTACGTATATACGGAGAAATATACGTATGTAATATGCAAGAAAGTAATAAATGAAAATGTAAGAAAACGTTCGGTATATTTAATTAAATGAAAACGTAAAAGAATACGTAAATGCATGGAAAAACCACGTACGGAGAATGGTTAAGTCTGGAACATCAAAAGATAACACACAATCCCATCCTACAGGAAATCGGTCTGTTGGACTATAGGAAAAGTGGCAGGATCAACGGCTACGGATCTACGGTCCAGGCCTTGAGGAAGAAGAAGAAGAAGAAGAAGAAGAAGAAGAAGAAGAAGAAGAAGAAGGAGAAGGAGAAGGAGAAGGAGAAGGAGAAGAAGAAGAAATAGTATAACAACAAGCACGACAGGAGAACATCTGTATCAACGAGATACATCCTGCTTGATAATTCTCTGGTTAAGTTATGCTTGTCAAAAAAGTGTTTTAGGAAGGAAATGGCTATTGAGACACACATTTGATCCCCTCTTCAATGTTGCAATGCTGATTTCGTTCTTAGAAAAGAGCAAAAGGAAATTAAAGGATAGTAATTTAGTAAGTATTAGTTAGATATTATGAATAATTTCTTTATTGTAATATTGTACATTAAAAGCTGGTACCTTAAAAGCAATTCCAAGCAGCTGCAATTTAAAAGTAACAATTTTTAAATGATACTTTCTTTTCCTCTAATGAACCTTTCATTTATCTTACATCAACAATACCTCGAATCGATATCTCTTCTTGACTACCTCAAATTATAAATTAAAGAATGATTGTACGCAGAAGTAATATTTTCAAATAAATAGAGAAAACTGCAACTGATTGAAGGATTCCTGTAATGATATTGCTTATTTATCAAATAGAGACTTACATGTACTAAAAAGAGATTATAAATACTTTAACTAAATGCTGCTTTGCAGTTGTATCAAGTGTATTTACAGTTTTGTTAAGCATCTCTGATACAATTATAAATATTGTTAAAGAAGAAAATGTTATGTTTTTGTATCACTGGTGTATCAAATTATGATGATCAATAATTATTTCACCGTCTTATTGTAGACACTAGTAATAACACTGCCATCATGAAGAAACTCGTTTTATTCACAACACCTGCATTTGGAACTAAAAAAAGCAAACAATTTTATAGATATTAATATATAATAAGTAATACTAAATAAATTAAATTTAACAAACACGATCTTAGTCATTCTTACCACATTTCTGATTATCTTCTGATGGTTTGAAACCTTTCTTACACTGACAAACTAAATTTGTACATTGAATGTTTTGTTTGTCCCCATCTGCTGGTAAGAAACAATCGTTGTTTTTGCCATCACAAGCGTCATTCAAACCTATACAAGAAATTAAAAATAATTTTGAATTGTTCATTTTTTGTAATACTTTATGACAATTTAACAAGACCTAGCACTATAAGTCGATAATATTTCTACCTAAATTAGGGAATCATTACTTTGTTACAGAAGGTAAATTGATTTTAGAGAACAGAAAAGAGATACACCTCAAATAAATGGAAATAAAATTACAATTAGTTTCTTTGTAGAATAGAGAGTTGAAAAATAATTGTTACTGAGAATAAAATATGATTTAGAGTCCACTGAAGAGATTGGCATGTGATAATTCCTTAAAATAATAATGGAGTTACAATCTGGAATCTGTTAAAACTAATATTACTTTGTAAAAATTATTTTAACAAACCCCTTAAGTGAAAATTAATATTTATTAGTTGAGTTATAGAATACTTCTACTAAAAATATTCAGTAATAAAATTATTAAACAATACACGTATATGTAGACTGTTTACTAAAAGTAAAATAAAATTATTCAGACTACTTGCTGCACGAATCAACCGACACCTGCAGATGTCACTCATTAATATTCAACAATTCCACTTGCCAAATCACACACCTACTTGGGACGTACGCCTGATCCTGCATGCTCGTTTCTTCATTGCGTACAATGACTCAAAATAAATTCTTTAATTTTCTCTCGAATAGAGCAAAGTATTCTTATTGCCTGGTTTCATTTTAGTTGATGTCGGTATTTTTGAAAATTGCAAAAAAAGATAATGGCAAAACTACAATATTTGTGATTAATATTTTGCCTTAATGTCATTTGTTCTTCAAAATTAAATCTTTAAATAGGTATGTTTTCCTATAACTACTTTTTTTTCCTATAAGTAGTATCGATTCTTTTTAATTGAAAATTTGAATTTCCCGCGCTTGGTTTGCTAGTCTTCCACGGGTTATCGCATCGCAATATGGAAATAGCAATGCAGGCAATAATGCTTTATACTGTATAGAACGCAGTTTTGGGATGTCGAATTTGTGTCGATGTGTTGACCTTACAACAAATACAGTACCGGCAGCGAATAACGATTCTGACAGTTCTCTCGCCACGGGTTGTGGTAAGCCAAGTGACCTGCTCTGAAGCAATCAGCGTGCGAAGATTTGTTACTTTCTCACAGTCAGGGTTCAGCGCTGCCGCTCATGTGACTCAGACGAAAACGCGGAGACGGTAAGTTTCGACTTCGGCGAAAGTGATAAACAAGATATCATGACGTGTCATAGCCTGTCAGTAAGTGTTAATGTTTTGAGTTTTAATGTAGATGATGTATATGGTGCCATGTGCATAGCAATGTGTGGCAACAGCGCACTGACTTGCCAGAGTTGCTTATACGCTGCCCGTACTGTAGTGTTGCCCCAATGTTCAAGGGCCTCCGATAATTCTTAATAAATATTGACTGCTTAACTTATCAAAAAATTGAAAAACGTATACAAAGAGTGGATTACACTATACGCAAAAAATGTTGCTGATTGATGCGAGAATGTCACTCAGTGTTGAGAATTTTAGTTTGTTTTTTTTAACAAAACTTGTCTTTAAATTGGAGGGGGAGTTAAATCGGCGGTGATCAGAGAAAGCAAGAATATGGGACCCGCAAATTAACTTAGGCCCAAAGTTTCTCAAAGCTGTTAAAACGGCCCTGAGTTCATCAAGTGATAGCTGAGATGTGTTGAGATGGACAAACACTGCATTATTAGTAAGTGTTACTAATGCGACAACGTACGTCTGTTGTAGCACTGTTGTAGCACTATTTTAAACTAATAGTTTAACATTGCGACGTGTGTGCCGTAGCAACAGCCATAACAACAAAAATAAAGATAAATATTTTGCTAAACATGTAGAAATTTGTCGCAAAAATGGAATGGAATGTTCGCATCAAAAACTCATGAAATGGAATACTTTCTTGAATGTATAGGTTTCCCCCGAATCCACAGTTATCCATACTTTCAGCGGCGAAATTTCGAATTGGAATCAGCCGCAATACTCAAGCCAATTCTACTGAAGAGTTAAAGAGAAGTTTATAATTTAAGAGGTCTACAGTAACAACTGACATAATGTTTTAAAATATTTTATTATATATTTGGTATATATTGTATTTATTCAATGAATGCACTTTGGTATTAATTCACAATAGTTTCAAGAAAAAATAAAAATTCTTGAAGCATAAAGTATAAAAAGCCCATTTACATATATTAAAAATGTCCAAGAAACCTTTCGTGAGATGGTTTGTTGAGAATATTGATCAGGGTGAAGTCAGCTAAAGCTGTAGGCTGGCCTGTTAAATCAGTCTGTTAAAACATCAATAACTATAATCTACTGTACATTATTTATTACTTGATAATAGAATTATTATATTATTAAACACATTATTATTGTATTATTATATTATATATTATTATTGTTGTAGTTGTAATTGGAGTGTAGGCCATTACTGACCACGCTTCATGATCAATGTGTGTATTTTTTCAAGTATCAGCTTTTCAGCTGTAACCCTCATTAAGAAACGCCTTGAAGTGTGAATTATGAAATTATACAATGATGATGATGAGGGGTGAAGGGACAATCACAAATACGACCATATCTAAGCAGGACTCCAAACTGTAGCGTCCTCGGCACAGACGACGCCTGCCGCAATCGTCTGCGCCACGGGGGCGACTATAATTAATATTATTATTATTATGTATTTATTACTTTATAGTGTATCTGTTCCATAAAGTACAACAAAATGTATCCTTCATTTATTTACAAAATCTATTATGTTTAACTTTCTTCTATATATTATTTTTTCTATATTTATTCTCCATATGTATAAAGCAAGGCAAGATAAACTCCAGAATAATTTATTTACTTCATGCTCCCTCACTATTTCGTAGCTCCATGCTTTCTTCTCTCACTGTTGCTTTTTTCATCATAAAAGTTATGTCAGATGCGAGATATACAGAGAAGAAAAGTAGAATGAATCATAAATGTATTAAAATAAAATTAGAAAGAAAATTAACACAGCCGAAAATGGAATGAAACAGGAAATTAAGCCAAATTATAATACCAATATTCCTACTAACTCACCTCTGGCAAACACACACAGTTGTTTAGAGCTGTGATAAAAGAATTCTGTCTCACACGAACATTTCTTTGTGTCTACTCTACAAGTAGATCCATATCCAAGTTTCCCATTTTGGCACTGTACATGTTCCAAACAAATTTCATTGTATTTATCCACCACTGAAATCAAAATCTAATTAATCTCGCAGACCAGTTTCATTTTTAATTAGGACTGTCCACATTGTTACAGCATTTACAACATTTTTACATTGTTTCAGGAAATATAAATTAGACTTTTCTGATAATACAAATCTATAAGTCTACAACCTTCATCTTCAGTTATTTTAATTTCGTCGTTTTCTAAATGAAGAGGTTGAGTAGAATTGCAATATACAGCCAGAACTACAAAATCTGTATAATGTATGTTAATAATTGTGTACTATCATAACTGAGCTAATATTTGGTCCACATTTTATGATTCTGTACTATAGAGTTTTATTTTGTATAACAATTTAAATAGTTTTTTAGTGAATATTTTACTACTTTGCTAAGTTTACTTAGGTAATTAAATTCTAAAGGGAAATAGATGATGTCAAGATTGCAAGAACAATGAAAGATAATCAAATTTCTTTCGTAAGTAGATGAAAATGATGGAGTCAAAAATATTTAAAACTTGTGCAAAGGTTTCCTGCTAACTACTTGCTACAATAAACCTTAACCACAACTTCCTTCTCTAACACACACGTAGTCAACATAACTAGGACTAAAAAGGTATTCTAATGAAGGAGCTTAAGATTGCACTATTAGCTAATTTCATGGATAATTTCCTTAATTTTTAAAGCTGTTCAATTATTGGTAGACACGGTGCCTCTCATTAATTTTAGCTCTTCTTTCTAATGATAATCACCCTTGATCACATGTGAGAAGATATTGAAGTATTATCATGTCAATTATACCTAAGTATTCTTTGATAGACATTGAAACGCAATACTTTTTGAATTTAAAAAATAAGTGCCAAAAATCGGTCAATTCACATTTCTTCAATCGATGAAACTTTAAATTAACAAAACAGATTAACAATAAAAACATCATAGAAGACAGTAAATCATTGTGTAAATAGGTAAAAATTGTCATATTACACATTAGAAAGAGTAGCTGTTTGGAAGAATAATGTTTGAAACTTGCCTGGAATGCATGACTTATTAAATTCCACAAATCCAGGGTCACAAAGACATAAAGTTTTACTACATGTTCCATGTAGAACATGATTGCATTGCTCCAGATAAATACAATCTTCACCCAGAGCTAAAACAGAGAGATTTGAATAATTCAATTGTCATTATTTTAGTACAAGAAAAATACGCAGAGAATATTATCTGATGTTATTTGTTGTTTTCAATAAGTGTCAGAAGTTTTATTTTTTATTTGCTATTTCATAAGGGTACAGTTAATAAAATGAGCACTATTACTAGAAATTTCAAGCACTACTCCTAATAACTGTTAATCATAATTTTTAAATATACTTCAAACTCACAAACACAAATGTAAACTTCACAATTTATTAACACAGAAGAGTTATGTTGACCTAAATTACAGTGTTCGATGTGTATCACATGTATCACAATCTGTTAATGGTGTGGGCAGCCTTCATTAATTATTCCAATAGAAATCTAGATTTGGATTTCTTGATCAAATTACACTTGAAAGAACACAATGTTTGACATAACTCAACACTTTACTATGATTTCATGACACTAAACCTTGTATTATAGTGTCATAAATTGTGTCTACGCAGTTTCATAGATTGGGGATAGAGGGGGAGGTTACAGGATACTGCTGCTCAGATTAATAGTTTTCGCTGGTTTCTCCGATCAGTGCCAGAGGAATGTCGGATCAGTACCCTAGCAAATGAGTCATGGACCAAAGGGCTTAAAAGTTTCTGCACTCGTGTTCTAACATGTTCTAGTAGCTCCAGTGGAAGTCTAGACACACAGATATCTGTGAATCACATGTGGCCGAGCTGTGTATTTCTCTAATTTGCATTGCTCACGAAAACAAATGTAATAATTTGGTGTAAATGTAGTGTAGTATTTAGTAATATTTATGGAAATTTATTAAGTAAGTAGTTACTCCACAACGAACAGCTGCTATCGGTGCCGGGTAATTTTGCAGTCATCATGGCTAGATGTTTTTCATAAACATTTCCAGCATCTTCCTCCAATTATGAAAATAAATATTATTTAAAAAGAATTGTGTTCATCATAAAAATATATCTCGTAGAATGTGGTCACTTCATATATTTCTGACTAATTTTAAATCTCTAACTTGAAGTTAATAAATACAATTACATAATGCTGTGAAAGTGATCCTTTTTTTATCAACAATCTCCATATTTTAGTAAGAATTTGTATATTTTTGGTATTGTACGAAATAATGAAATAGGTCGAAGCTGGATATGTACTGAATAAAAAGAAATATGATTAGGATTGTGTTCTCTTTGGATCAGGGGAGTGGAAGACAACTCTTTCAGGAAGAACTTCAACTGGAAAGTTATCATAACTTGTTAATTGTGAGAACCATATATTTCCATAGCAACTGCACTGCAAGGGTATTTCTTATTTTAAAAGTTTAATCCCTACCCCAAAGATACGATCTTTTCTAATAATTTAATGTTTTACATAGCACTGAATTGTTTCATTATTGAAGCCTTACCTTTCTTTGCATAACAAGTTGAATTGTTTTCTACAGCCACGCCTTCACGTCCACAAATACATCGTGTTTCTGAACATGTACTGAAACCACCCAATTTCCACTTGCATTGCTGCTCATATTCACACGGATCTCCAACACTGTTTGCAGCTGTAAGGGCAAAAGAAATATTAAACTAAAAAAATAATTATCATTCTATAGGGCAGAGTTATTTTTGAAAGTAATACTAACCTTTTTTGCATACTTTGTCAATCATAACATAGTCCGCATTACATTCGCAACCGTTTGACCCGCATTGAGCATTTTCTGGACAAGGCGGGCATTGAACTCCACGTCCAGTTGCATTCACTGACACTGGTCCTGCCGACGGCGATGCATCTCCTGAAATGTGCACGTTTCATCATAAATGCCATTTGTGAGCCAATCGTAGCACCACAATGCTTTATTATTTCGAATGATAGTTGACTGTTCAAAAAATTAACTGCCCCAGACGGAAATCGAACCCGTATTTCTCGCTACACGTGCAGTTGCTCTAATTACTTGAGCTACCTAAACTCTTTGAACAGCCGTCTGGGGATTAGAGCCTCTGTGACATGCTTTACATTTCACCCCTGATCATATGTTGCAAGTTCATAATAGCACATGAATATGATTCCCACTTCGCAATTGCCGACTCACACGATTCCTGACTTGGACAGTTCATTCTTTGTACAGTCAAACAATTTTTTAAACATTACTTCTGTTAAGTAGCTAAGGGAGATCACAAAAGTGGGTTGGAAATTACAGCCTGCAATTACAGATTGCAATTTGTTCTAGAATCTTTTCAAATTAACCAATTCCATTGGTCAAGTACAGCCCAGCCCCTTCACATTCAAAACATCTATGCCAGCATTGAACGTAGTGTTTGAGCGTTTCTGAAAATGCGGAATTGTGAACTAATTTTAGAGATTGTGAGCAGAAAAGTTTAGAGATTTCTAGAAACAATCTCATATTTAAAATCGTTTAATTTCGTTAAAAACAAAACAATACGGCAAAATGGCATGTTATCTTACATAGTGCATCTAGCATTATTCCTACAAAAAATTGAAGAAAAAAGTTGGAACAGATTTTGAGAAAAAATATTTTAATATTTTTTTAATATTGCCCAACTTTTACCCATTATTACGCAAAAATAACTGATTTTTTTAAAATGTGCTTGACTCTAATAAAATAATTTATGGCATAGAACAAATCACAAATGAAAAAAACAATTCTACAGTCAGTGCAAGTAATATTGTAGTTCTAGGAAGACGCCGATTTGAAAAAAATGAAAAACTTGAGCCACAGGGACTACATATAATATTCCGTCAAAATTTGAAGAATATTTTTCGAAAACGCATGGCTTCGAGTCGGGTTAGATCAACCAGATAATATGTATTTTGGTAAAAATTCTAGAACGTTTAGGTGGTAGTGATGTGCACACTCGCACAGACTGTCAGACGTGCAAACATTTAGATAAGAAAAAAACGATTTTTCGGTACCAGAGGGTCCTAAAACGTGTATTTCCATCACAATCTAAAAACAAGAATGTTCTACAGCATTACATAACTTTCTCTATTATATTCTAAATAAACACGTAGTATTATAACTCATAAATCATAAATAATAGTATACGTACGTATTTACACCATAAAGTAATATTACAGTACGTATATTACTTCGTATCTATGCACGAATACGAAAAGTCGATTTTTCGAAAGAAAAACTTCTTTTGTGGGTCACTGGTACCGAAAAGGGGGATAATTCTTGTCCCTACAAGTAGTAAATAGATTCCTTTAACACGTTGTGTAAATTTCTAGGGTATGTAGACGGCCGAAAATTATCATTTTTTGCAATGAATATGTGCTGGAAAATCTTTTTAAAAGACGCCACTTATGTGACATTTCCCCTGAGTGGTAGGCAACTCATCTTACTTTGATGTGTGGAGGAAACGAAATCCTTAGCTGCGTCAGAAAGTGACCCCTAAACATCCAGGCTTGATGAGTTGCTTTCGAATCAAGAGGAAATGTCACCATTATAACTTCATTACATCAAAATTTCACCACACCTTTCCATTGACAAAGAACTGATTATATTCCCCCTTCATTCCCTAGAAGTTCGTAACATTATTGATTGGTTGGTTAGAGATTCCGGGTGCGTCAACCGGCAAGGCCAATAGTCCCGTAATTGTAATACATGCCCTCGGGATGTCTCTGTGATCTTTCCACGCTGGATGTTGTGATGCGGCGATCTACCGTTGGTCAGTGGGATTTTCTCCAGCTAGATATCTCCCACCAATCGGGCACCGCCCCAGCCGAGGCGAGGATAGGACAATAAGAGGAAGGAGAGATCGCGCGCGTTCCGTGGCCCATTTGTTAGGGCACTGCTCCTGCATTCCCGGAGATCTGAGAACCCACGGAAAACTACCGATCAGAGCAGCCGACCGCTCCAGATAACGACTGAACTTGATCTAGTCGAAAATCCTGTCTTCGCTGCCACTCGAATCTAGAATCTCACGATCAGAGGCACTGCAGTGACATCAGTTGATGCCCTGAGCCACCTCTTCCGGTTATAACATTATCAGAAACACTCCTGCCAAATGCAAATGATGGTGAGGGTTTCAAGCTTTTCAAAGACTGGTAGAAGGGGTCGAAGAACGATCGGCAGTAAGGCGGAAACATCACAAAGCAAACATGATATAATATATACAAATGTTTTTAGAAAGATGCTCGCTGACCATTCGGGCGGCCTTAGGGCTGTGTTAAAAAAATGGGCAAATTTCTATACACGGGCCAATCTTGTTCATTTATAGAGATTTGAGGAATAGCAATCGTATCTTCATGGTCAAACTATACAATACTATAATTATCTATTTACGCAGTATGCCTTAATGAAATGTTGAAGTGTACATGATACGACTAGTGTCCTATATTAGAAGGTATTAGAGGTGGTCTCTGTTTTTGGACAAAGCAGAATGAATTACGATGAATGGATCATTTCGGATTTCATTCAGTTAATGATAGTATCATCCAATGGACTCTGCTTAAAGTAAAACGATTGTCGAAGTGCTAGACGTCTAGTGATTTTGGTCTAAAAAAGCTTTACAAAAAATTTTGCTTGGCACGAATTCAAATTAGTTTTGTGTAAATATAAAAGATCGTAGCCCGGGGTATCGTCGCCAACTCAGAAATGGGTATCAAAGCGTCAACTAAAGTGTATAACGTTTTCGTGATATCGTGTAAATGGAAATTTAGAACTGACACAATGCAAATTTAAACTACAAATCTTTTCTGTTACTAACGTTGAAAATTTTCCACCAGCAGACTGATCGCTCTTTGTCACATATATGCTACTCCTCAACATCTACTCAATTTTGTATTAGTCTACCTCGTAGTCACGGCGCGAAAAAAATGCTGGTTGAAAACACTTGTGAAGTTATAGTAGTAAAATATTGCGTAGCCGATGCAAATAGTGAGAAAACGTATGTGCTGTTGTAGAACCAGTAGTTTTAAATAGAAATCCTTTATAACTTTTTTCGGAATTTTCAGCGATAGATTTTTCGAAATTTCTGGAAGTACCAATCAAGTGTTTCCATAATGATTTCATGAAAAACTTTTTAGGTGCGTGGCAGTCTGCAAATATGCAACTCCACACTGCTTTGTGATCTGACTTTTACGATGTTTACAACATTAGAATTTCAGAAGTTCAATATCGCTATTCACAGTCTTAAAATCACTATACCTCTTATACTGATTTTAAGTTATATTCACACCATCTTGGATACATACGTACTTTGTTCCATAAGACGGACGGAAAGCAAAAAAAATTGTTTTTTGCCTGTGTCATGCGCGTGGGATCCTGTGACTGTTAGGCATTCAACCGCCCCCCCTCCCGTCACCATGCCCCCATCCGTTGTGCGACATCCATCCCCTCCTCGACACAACGCAGCTCTGCGAGAGAATTTCGCGGCTGGCGCGCGGGGATAAGCTCGGAGCGGACCTCGCAGCCACTTAGTTGAACAGACCTTCTCTAAAATATTTCCTGAACCGATATATAAATTGAGTTGCGATTTTTCGCTAAAGTTATTGTAGGGCAGATGTTGACCGGGGGACCAAGGATTCGAGTTCCGGCGGTGGGGTATTTTCGGCCCCAGCTATTTGGGAACTTCTAATTCAGCCACTGTCTGGAGGACAAATCTAGACACTTGTTCCTATGACCGATAGTTGCCCGTGTATTCTTTCGTGTGTATTCCAAGAGAATGACGGATCAGAACCTCAACAAATAGGCGCGGCGTACGCGCAAATCTTTCCTTCTTCATCGTTTTCCCCTTATCTCCCCTTACACACATACATTTACATACATTTCTCAACCACACTCTCGGCAGACCTGATAGGAAGTTAGCGGATATCCCTGCTCTCATGGTGACACGCTAACAAAGATACACTGATGTGCGGACCCTCGCAAGGCAACGCGTGTGTCGAAGCCGGATTTCACGTTCTAACGATGGAGGAGAATCGCTACCTCCCGAGTTATTACTTGTACTACACTCACGAAACGAATGACCAAAGTAGCTGACGTGTCGGCAAACTCTACATACTCACTCACATGACATTTTTGAGAAATGTTTTCACTGCGCACGGCTGTTGCAACACGACCCCACAATCGCAAAGAAACCGCAAAACTCCCAGCGAGGACACTCCGGTTCCATTGATCGACCCTGCGGACGGGTTATTACGAATAGGGCATTTCGCATGTTACTGGACATGCGTCTATTATTTTTCAGTTTAACCCGATATACAATTTTTCTTTCTGTGATAAAATTAGATCACCCAATGTAATGTCTAAATCCCTTATTTTATAAAAACTAGTGACGCTAAAACAGCAAGTACTTTCTCGTTCGAATATTCATGCAAATTTACGCGAAAATACTCAAGTTTTCGAAAAATTGTACATGACTTCATTTCAAAACCTACCTTTAAGAAACAGATTTCATTAAGGCAAAAAATATCTATCTGTAATAGTAAGACTGAAAAAAGTTTGAACTTTTGCAATTTTCAAATAATTAGGATTTGTTAACCAACATGAGACCATTATCCTAAACATTCTTCACACTATCCAACAAAAAAGTTAATATAAAACAATGGATCCACTTTTTTTAAAATTTTTGAAAATGCCCTAGGGTCTTCATGTAAAGTACCCCCAAAATTGAAATATAGATTTCATATTTAAGGGGCCGCGACATTAGTCACATCGATTTCGGAATATGAATTTTGGAGAAAATCAGCGGAACGTTTTAGCCGCTAGAGTTGTTCACAGACGGACAGACATTTTGTCGGCGTTCGATTTTTCGGTAATAAGGACCCACGGAATATATATTCTGGCTGTACTTCGTGTTAGAGGATTTTTTTCTAAATTTATCAACTGAATTTATCCCCTTTTTCGTTACCAGGGCCTTGTAATACGAGTTTTCTGCCAAAAAGTCGCCGTTTTGTGACGCAGCATTACATTACTTTCTCTCTACTCCGTAGCGGGAAAGAAAAAAGAACCCCTACGCGAAGGGATAGACTGAAATAATTTTCTAGACAAAATATATTACCTGCAAAACTGCAAAGGATACAAGAATGCAGGGGAGTAGTCTAGAGGGCTTGTCGCGCGTTATCGTAATCCTTCGTAAATTCTAAGTTCAAAGGTAAAATTGAAGAAAAAAAAACATTTCAACTATTTTGAAATTTCAAAATGCTTATTACAATCACAGAATTACCAATGAAGACGTGCCCTCAATCAGTTGGTTATACCAAAGTGTATGTTTGTTCTTAGTATCTACTGAGGTCGCAACTGATACGATATGGAGAAACTGATTGTGAAGTTGTTGACATGACGCCGAATTCGCAAAGTATCGAAGTGCTACACGTTAAAGGTAAAAACGTACCTTTGGAAACATTCATAGAGCGAAATGCTTTGTGATCATTGACTTATATCTAGTTCATTTTTAATTTAATTTTATTAAAAATTGAGAAAATGTGAAAAAAAATGTTTTGATGCCGATAGATAGCAGCTGGAAGTAGGGCAGTTCCGAAAATCTATTCAAGACTAAAGAGATTAGAAAACTAACTAGTGCGAGAAAGTTTGTAGCATTACTAGTTAAAATTGTTATAAATAAAATTAAAGACGAATAACATTTTTAATCAGTTGTACAATCAATAATGTATATTTTTTGTTGGAATGTTTTATGACCTTAATAAAAACACTGAATTTGTTTTTATAAAGTCATAAAAAACATTGTAGTACAATTAACAAGATAACAGACGCCAATGTATATTCATTAAAATACGCATATTTTTCATGTTTATATTTCATTCGAATTCACCTTCGGAGAACCTAACGGAAACAAGATCATGCTCCCTTCATAACAATTAAAAACTAATCGAGCTAAAACAGCACATACTTTCTGTCCCTTTAGTGACGGTTATGTAACAATATTATACCGCATATGAATTAAGCAAAATAAGGTTTATAACGAGTTATTTTACTTATTTTAGCATTTTGCCTTTTATTTATTGTATTTTATTGTGTCTTAACTTTAATAAATCGAATTCATAAAAATTGTAGTATTGTAAATGTTGTGTTGGTGTTAAAGTAGGCGTAAAGTATTCAAAAGCCCGTTCGAGCATAAAGAATCAGAAAGGCCCCAAGGGTGTTGAACATATCGTTACTTGTTTTTTTATGCCCATTAACACAGAGCAATGAATTAATAAACAATAAAGTTATTTTTCGCTATGTCTTCTTCATATTATTATATAAGTTTATTCTTAAATTTTTCATTTTCTTTTAAATGAACGAATTACACAGCACTGCTTGCCTAAATGTGTAATGCTAAATGATCCATACGTTTTCACACATAAGAAAATTTACCCAAAATCTCATTACTAATCGAAGAACAGACGTGTCGTTTCCATCTACATTCAGAATTCAACAAGTAAATGGGTTAAGATAGGGATACCAGAATTTAAGAAAACGTGCACAGAATACATTTCTCCCCACAGTACGTCACAAAGAGAAGAATTCAAAATTTCGTTTTTACATTTCATTATCTTGTTGCCGTTAAACAATGAACTCAAATTTCTATCTCTATATTGTTCCTCAAGTCAGCGTAGGTAGTAATATAAAATTAAAATGTTCCTAAAAATTAGTGGTCCTCAATTTTTTTTTGTAAATTATTATAAATAATGCGAAAATAATTCAAATCTAACCAATTCAAACGACGCGCCAATTGTGGATGCATTTATTTCCATAGCCAGAGATAGTGGTAATTTTTAACTTTTATAAATGAAACATACCATAATAAGCTACCAAATTTCTTGAGGTAAAGAAGAAATTTGTTAGTTCTAAATTAAATTATTGCCTTCTTTTAATTTACTTTCTTTTATAAGAACAGCAATAGTATCCAAACATCTCTCTAATTGTGTGCATGAAGCGCAGGAAATTTGAAGTGGACGGCTGGGTATTTAGAAAATTTCCGTTCAGCCGATTTTCCCCAATCGATCTGGCTGATTTCGTGACCCCTTGAATTTGAAACTGATATTTCAATTTTGGAGGAACTTTACATGAAGCCCCCGTGACATCTTCAAAATTTTCAAAACAATGGCTCCATAGATTTTTAATAAATTTTGTTGTTGAATAGTGTGAAGGACGTTTAAGAGAATCATGTTCCGTGAAAATTACAAAAGTTCAACATTTTTTCGGAGTCTTTCTACAACTAAAACATTAAAGATAGATATTTTTCCGCTTAATGAAATATTTTCCCTAAAGATAGATTTTGAAATAAGGGCATGTAGAATATTTAGAAAATTTGCGTACGTTTTGCGTAATTTTGCGTGAAAATACGGGCGCGAAAGTAAATGATGATTTAGCACCATTAGTATAAAGATGCGGGACTGGTGCGGTAAACTCATTTTTCACAACCATATACAAGAAGGATCACAAAGAAATGAGGATACAATGAGTGAATAGCAATGTGAAATTCTAAATAGAAAATTAGTTGTCGTAAAACAGATCTCATTATGCAATTGCGAAATGAGTTGAATGATACCAACTCGCATGCATTAGCGCTTACGGTGCACGTGCCCGCGTACGCGGACCCAAATTCGCACACATTTGCTTACACATAAATGCCCAACAACACACACATACGCACTTATAAACACGTGCACACCAGAACTAGCGCGTACTTCTCCGCGAAGCATGACTGAGATGTCGGTGGGGGAGTACGTCACATGTAGTCCCTCACATACCGTTCATAAACAGAATACGTTGGCAGACCAACTTTAACCCAAATAATAACAATAATAATAATAGTAATAATAATAATAATAATAATAATAATAATAATAATAATAATAATAATAATAATAATAAAACAAAATGTGACACTACATGTACCAACAAATGTAAACGAACGAGCTTACTATTGCTGCTATCTAATTATTTGCGTAACTTTATTGAAGCACCTGCTATGGATCCAATAGACAGGTAAGTAAAATAATTTAGGATTTTTTAGAGAGTTCAAGATCATCTTACCGGGTGAGAGAGCAGAATTATTCTGAGCACCGGCGTGATCTAGTACGGACAGAACCGCCAGCCCCAACACTACAGCAGCGTGCGCAACCATCTTCACTCTCTGCGAGTCACTCACTGAAAGGGCTGCGCCCCCGGTGGACTCGCTGCTCCCCCCTTTCCCGCCGCTCCCAGCCGACAGAGCGCAGCGAGGGGCCGGCGGGCCCCTCCCATAGCTGATATCACTCAGAGCTAAGAGAGGTGCGTCTGCCAAGAACGCGTGTTTGACGCATTTACCCGATCCTGAAAGTGGTCCGGCGTACACCCGTCGGGAGTGTATCTGTAGTAAGTTTTATCATCAATAACTTTTACAGCCAAATCCTAGCAGCAATATCGAAGAATGGAATGGTTTCAAATGGAATAACATACACAATAGATTACATTAGTCAACGTGATTTTGTGAATCAATTCTCTCCATATGTGCAAAAATCTTCAACACATTTTGAAACTATTGGCGCTTCAGCAGCACATGCAGTCTTGCAGTCCTTGTAAAATTTGCAATTTTTGAAATTCAGTGAGTTCTAAGAAAATTAAACCTACACATGGCTCCTAAATCCAAGGAATTTCTAATATATAACATTCTCATTTCTTTATGCGCTCAGCGGCATTTTGTTTTGGTTTTGCAATTACTCCTCATGCTTTTTATTCCAAATTTTCTCCGCACAAGATTCAAAAGTTCTCTGCCTCTGAAAAGGCTCGAGAGAAATTCTTTGCACTATAACAAGTATAACAGAATCATCATGGAAGCAAAAATACACTCTTAGAATCTTTTTTAACGAGCGAACGTTTTGTAATCTTCTGCAATTTCTTCGCAAAACAAAGGCTTTCAGTCTATCTTAAAATGCCAATGTTATTCGTAAGATACATTTTAATGGGCAACTACTAATATGTTCTAAACGACAATGTATTCCTTGCGCAATATGCAAAATAATAAAATTTGCAGCTGTTTTTGAATCTTTTTTCTAATTTCCTGTAGTTCAAGTAATATTACGCAAAAGCTACTCAGACTTTCGAAAAAGTAAACGTTATCTTATATCAAGTTCTATCTTAGAATAACAGATTTTATTAAGGAAAAAATCACTATCTTCAATAATGTAGTTACAGAAAAACGTCGAAAAGTTTGAAGTTTTACAATTTTCGGAAATTTAGAGTTTTCCATGAAAATTAGATCGCGCAATTTTTTTTAACTTCACGTTTTAAACTCCACTCTACTCGAGAACAAAGTTGAATCCTAATTGGGAGGTGTTTCTAAGTAAATTTGAAAAATATTGAGTATTCTTGAAAACAATCCTCAAAAATCAAAATTTCTGTTTAAAACTTGAAGAGTTTCGAGGTCGTTTACATCGATCAGGAAATATTAGTTTCAGAGAAATCGTCTCAACGATTTAGGCGAAAGCGTTGACCGCTCATGGAAAGACAAACGTGCGACAGGGGACAGTCAGGCTTTTTACCTCCGATCGATTTTACGGATTTTACGGTATCAAGGACCCGCTTGACGTCGCTCCTGATGCTCCTGAAGAAAAAACTTGGAGTAGTTTTTGAGAAAAATTAGAAATTCACTATACTTCACGGAATATTTTACGAAAACTTGTCAAATTTGGAAAAATAGTACGTGATCTTATTTGGTGATCCATCAATGTAGAACAGATTTCATTAAGTAAAACTAATATCTATTATCAATATTGTAGTTGTAGGAAAACGCCGAAAAAATTGAACTTTTGCATAATTCGAAACTTCAGAAAGTTTAAAGAAAATGTGACCAACAACATTCTTTAAATATACTTTGCTTATCCGAGGAAAAATTTTATTCAAAAATTTTGTGCCACTTTTGTAAACATTTTGGAAATTTAAAGACATCATATAAATTACCCACAAACATTAAAAAATTCGCTTCAAAAACGCACGACCTTGATTTTGACAAGATCGGTGGGCAAATATCAATTTCGGAGCGTATCGTGTGAACAAATTAGGAGCTAGCGTTGACCACAGACGAAACAGAGGGACCGGGTGGAAGTAAAGTCATCATGGCGGAAGACGGGTGAACGGACGGGAAAACCGTCAACTAATTTTTCGGTATTAAGAACCAGTAAAACGTCGATTCTGACTACATAATGTGTAAGCGGAAGTAATTTACTATATACAAGAACAAGATTTTTCCACGTTTTAGATACCTCAGACACAGGAAATAGTGGTTTTCTTCAAAACGTTCGACCGTCTGTTACGTAACAAAGGTGCTGTTAACTAATCGTAGGATTTTTTCCAAAATTAATATTTCTCTATCAATCTGACCAAAGCACTACGTTTTTGAAAAGAATTCTTGAAATAATGAAGATACTTCAAAGAAAGTCCCTGGAACATTATCACAATTTTCTAAAAACGGCCCTCTTTTTTTCTATAATATTTATTGTAAGAATAGAACGTATAATATGTGCAAGTATATGATAAATAAACTTACAAAGATGACAGGTGGGATTTTCACTGTTTACTCTGAATTTTCAAAATTTGCGAAAATTTGAATATTTTTCGGTCCCATTTACTACAGCTGCAGCTTATAGTCCAATAGAATAAATCAAACTAGTGGTTCACAGAATGGAACAGACTTTCCCGTCTTAGTTTCCTATTTCCTTTGGTCCTAGGTATAGAAACTTGCCACATAATCTTGCCAGATACTATCTATCGCCTCCTAAAGTACATTTTTTTCTTACGTTTTCGGTTTCCCAATAGTAAAACGGAAATATAATTTTGTGAATATTAAATAACAGTAAAACCTTGTCCTAATGGCAAATTTCTTTGAAAATTTTGAAGCTATTTTTAAGAAAATGGCGCCTAAGCGCTACTGTAAATTAGAAATGTATGGCTCTTTTTTACAGAAAATTTTGGAATTTCCGAAAACCTTCATTTAAAGTCATTTGAAACACTTTAACTCACAAATTCAAAAGTGTTTACAAATTGCTAGAAAATTGCATTTAATGGCAAGAGAGATCTTTCAAAACGTCACGTCATATTAAATAGTGCAATTCGTTTGAAATGTTTGTCGAAAAATTTGGAACCGTTTTTGAGAAAATGGCGTTTTTAGCGTTTCTGAAAATGCGGAGTTTTGAGGTAGTTTTCACAGAAAACTGTAGTTTTCGAGAAACTTGTGATATTATTTAAAGCACGTGCAATGTAATAATGTGAACAAATCGCCGCTAATATAAATATTAAGACGTGAGAGACAAGTAAAAAAATTAATTTATGGAATTTTTGAAAAACAAAAGGACAGAGTAATATGGCATTTATGTGACCATATAGAGTACATTTACAACTATCCCTACCAAAAGTTTCTTTAAAAAATTGGAGCTCTTTTCGAGACAATCTTGCTATTGTATTTTTTTAAATTACTTATAATACTTATTAAAATGTACATGAGATTAACAAAAGAAATAATTATGGACAATAAATTTTATATTGAGGAAAAATCTCTATCTTTAATTTTGTAGCTGTAGTAAGACCCCGAAAATAATTCATTTGTTTGAAATTTTCGAAAATTCAGAGTTAAGCGTGAAAATCTGACCTATTCCACTTTTATAAGTGTATTTTACTCTATTCTTAGAAGAAAGTTAAAGAAAAAGTTTGGAGCCGTGTTTGAGAAAATTTTCAAAATGTCTCAGGGACTTCATGTAAAGTACCCCCAAATTTTAAAGAATGTTTTTCAAAATTTCATAACTTCGACTCGAACCAGACGGACAGGGGTTTCTTCAATTTGGAAAAAAATCGTATGTTTTGTTTATGCGCTAGTGGTGTTCACAGACGGACTTATGAAAAAAAAACACTTTTTTGGTATCCAACAATCGTATTTTCGAAGAAATCTCGAAATCGATTTTTCTCAGCATTACATAACTTTTCATATACTACCCCCTATGTACGTATGTATACGGGAAAGTAAAAATCAGATGCAACGGAAATAATGCCTCCAAATTGTTTTGTTTTAATGGCTTCGATTATGGTCACCATGACTTTCTTTGGTTTTCCCCCTCGGCGAAGATGTACTTAAGTGGTTGGGCAAGTGTGGTAAAAATGTACCCTTAAAAGGGGTTTTTTTGCGCTTTTACGTTTACATCTGGTAAAAGACTCGAAAAAATGGATTTTTTTACGTTTACATCTGGTAAAAGACTCGAAATATCGAAAAAATTGCCCCATTAAAGCTGTAGGGTATCACATTTTCCATTGAATGAGACCATTCAAATATTTTTTTGATCATACTTTCCCATACTAATGCTTATCAAAGTTGGACAAATTTTACATATTATGAAAAATGTTCTTTTAACTTCTATGTTCTTTCTAACACTGAGTAAAGATTCTTCTGCCGAGTACTAAGTAAGACCGTGGATTGATTGATTAGTATTCCAGGCGCGTCAACTGACAAGGTAATTAGTTCTGTAAGAGTAGTGTATGTTTTTATCTGAGGAGGTGACGGTGAACGTCCCCCAGCGGATGGCGAGTGCCGGCCCTGCAACTCGTTCAAGCGCGTTCCTCCACGTCGGTTGGAAGGTGTTTCCCAGAGAAGGCATCTTCCGCCAGCGGTACCGCCCTTCCGGGACAAGCTCTAAGCTCCCGACAAGTGTGGCCGTGCAGAGCACGTAAGTGTAAGTGTACCTGTGTCAGTAAGGGTGACGATAGAACAAGGAAGAGGAAGGAAAGAAAGCGCACAGTATGTGACCCGTTTGTTAGGGTACTGCTCCGGCATTCGCCTGACGTTGCTTGGAGAATCCATGGAAAACTTCCGATCAGGGCTGACGGGAAATACCTTGGCAGGAGTTCGACTAAGCTATCGGGCTAGAGCCGAAAATCCTGCCAAAATCGGGACTCTAACCCTCGGACCTCCCGGTCAGATACCCTGCAGCGTCATCAATTGATGCCCTGAGCCATCTAAGTCAGGGGAGGCCCTGGAATGTCCCTTACCGACAAACGGAAACCGTAATGGGGGAGGGACAAAATCGAAAAATTATCCCCGACTCGGAATGTAAGAGAACTAAGAAGTTCGAGAAAGTTTTGTTGCACAACTAGTTTTCTGGAGCATTATATAACTTTCTCTGACCTACGTATAGAAAAAAATAAAAAACTACTTCGGTACGGTAGATATCTGTGATCTTACCTCTGCACTCATTTCCAAACTTTGTAAAACCTTGCTTGCATATACAGATCTTATTCACAGAATCGTGAACTGCCTGGGGATGACACATACATTTTCCGTCTGTACAGGACCAGGCTGCTCCATGCCTAAAATTTACATGGTTGTCACAATCATCCAAGTTTCGGCATTCTGCTGAAAATTAGAAGGAAAACTAGTAAATAATCATCCCTTTTTTTTACAAACCACATCAGCACATCTTACTCCTAATTCACCCAAAATTAATGCGATTTCAACATCACACTTTTCATATTATTTTGTTAACTTTAAATAGAAACATGCCGTGTGAATCATTTCACGCACACTTTTTCACATTTTGTGTATTTTTCAAATTTAATTGTTTGCGCGTGATTGTCAGAGAATTCGTAACAATTTTCCGCGAAATCTAAAACAGGATTTTCTAAAATAATACTGTCCCATTCTTTGTTTAAAACTTTTTAAGGATAGAGCAGAGATCGCTGAATTGTATCTTGTACGTTCTATATTCATTAAAACATTTGAATTTTCAAAATTGTAACAATTGTATTTTTCGGGCAATTTAATGGTTCCAAATTTGAAAATCTGGTTTGATTCGCAGAAAAATGAGTTTTTTAAGTTGTTTTCCTGGAATAGAGCAAGTGCACTTATAAAAATTCAAATTTAAAAAAATTACAATTTTCATTTGTTTTTTAACTGAAATTTTGAAATTCGCAAGTTAGAATCATTCACCCTTTTTTGCAGAAGTGTTTTCTACAAGATGACTGAAGAATTAGAAATATCCAAATAATAATAATAATAATAATAATAATAATAATAATAATAGTTTGTGCTACAGGGACGGAAAATCTACATCATAAGTGAGAAGATGATTCCGGCCGAGGAGATGATTAAAGTCGACCAATGTTTTTGCAATCATCCGTAACTATTTCAGTAAGGTAAAGTAATTTTAGAGCGACAAAGTAATTTCACGGTGGCAAGTAATTTCAGTCCGGTAAAGTACCTAGAAAAAAATTACTGAGTATTTTTAACAGAGAACAAATGATCAGTGACTATTAAACAATTAGCTAATTTAAGTTTAATGTAAATTGTTTAATGAACAGTGATTAAATGAACTTATGTGAAGTGAACAGAATGGTGCGGTATTACTTATGTACTTTTGGACGAAAGTAATATGTTTAAAATTTATTATATTATTTACCTTAAAAATACAAATAAAACTGTTAACGACAAAATAACGACTGAAGAGTCATGCTAGTCAAGTAGCAAGTAAAATTGTTTTATTCGTATGTAACATGCGTTCTGTAGAACTTATATCTTGTCTTACAAAAGGAAATTTAAAAGTAAAAAATGTATAGGTCTTTGAAAACAATTAAAACACAGTTTGCACTTCAAGTAACTTCCTCGAAATTAAAATATTCCGCTTAATTTCGTTGGGGCTCAAGCTGAAGAAAATCGAGAAAGAAGGACAGGAACTGTTTATGAGCTTCAAAAGAATAATTGTTTGTTGCCAGGGCCCCCAAGCCGGCATTCCCGTCAAAAATCGGTATCAATTACAGTACTTTCTCTTTTCTACGTATACAACAGCGTAAAACTTGTATCAAAGTAGCGGGATGGAAATATCAGAATTGTATTACTGCACACCGAGTCACGTGATTCTCGCCGGCGCACTCTCAGCTACTCGTAAGCTGATTCATGGGCCATTTCCCTGAGCAGGCTCCGCGATCAGGCCTCATGGTACTGCAGTCGATAGTCGCAGACGGACCCTCCCCTACCCCTTTGCTGGTGCATCGGCGAGCGTCATGTATCTCTCAGTCCATTCCCTAAGGGAGGGAAAGAGCGAAAGGGGTGATTTCCCTATGAAAATCCTCCTGGGAAAGGGGTTCCACAGAGTCATGCAGATACGAACCCCAACAGAAACGAGATTGTCTCAGAATGACAGTGAACAATATGTCAATATATTCAAAGGAATTTCCTGTGTTAGATGTTAAATTACTTAATTAGAAGATAGTTTCTCAGAAATAATATAAACCGGTGGTGCTACAACAGCACTGTATTTGTAACTTTTGGCATTTTTATACAGAAAAAATGTCTATCATCATTCCGATATTTTGATTTTGGGAGAATACTTTACAACTCATAAACTCAACTACATTAACAAAATTTTCTCAAAAATAACTTCAATTTTTTTGCACTTTTTTCCAGGGTCAGCGCAAAGGATGCTTAAAAGTAGCGAAGTTCCATTTTCGTTGAACTCTATATTTCCGAAAATTACAAGTGTCCAAAATTTATTCGGCGTAAATTGTAAAGAATTATTTTCTCAAAATCGCCTCCTAATTTCTAGTTAATTTTTCCTATCCGGTTTATACGTGGTATCGGGAAAGTTATGTAACGCTGCGCGAAAAAACGGCGGATTTTCGGCAGAAAAAAATTCATTGCCGATCCCTGATTACGTAAAAGTGGATAAATCCAGTTGCTAAATTAAGAAAATAAATCTTCTTACATGTGGTGAAGCCAGAATCCCTGTTTTGTGGGTTCTTGATTCCAAAAAATCAATTGACGGCAACACGACCGTCTGTCTACGAACACCACTAGCGCCTAAATCACACGTAAGATTCTTTCTACAAGGGATATTCCCAGGTCGATCTGGCTCGGTACAGTAAAAAAGTAGAACGTTTGCCTTAGCAATTTTCAAAGATTTCCATTAACATTATTACAAGATCTAATCCTAAAAACACACATTTCTTTAAGAACAAAATTTTATCTTCAATACTGCAGCTGAAGGAACGCTCCGAACAAAATTTAAACTTTTAAAATTTTGGAAAATACAGATACTTCAACAAAATATCGTACCTCTGCCTTTTATAAACGTATAATTCTCTATTTAAGAAAAAAATTAAAGAAACAAGTAAGAGAAACTACAATACACACTTTTGAGGAAATTTTGAAAATATTGCTGAATCTTCGTGTAAAGCACACCTAAAAAATCAAAATATGCGTTTCAAATACAAGAGACCGCGGCATTAGACAGATTGATCGGGAATCTCAATTTTGGATAAAACACTACCAACGAATTATCAACTAGAGTTGTCCACATACGGACTGACAGACAGACGTTTTGTTGTAAACCATTTTTTTGGAATCAAAGGGGTCACGAAACTTACACATGTTAGAGGAAGTTATCTACGACATTTAAAAATAAAAATTATCCACTTTTAGGAATCTACAGTATAAAGTTTTCATTGGATTACATAACTGTCTATACTCCGTAAGTTGTACGCTAGAAAGTAAAAACTCTCGGACGCAATCGGTCGTCACAACCACATAAGTAGAAACCCTGGAGAATGTTTTATTCCAAGATGCTTTATTTTTGTACATTTTGGGATTAAGTTGTTTTATTGCACAGGGAAACTATATTATGCTTTTAATCTAATCAATATACAGATGAGGCAAATATTGGGGGTTTGATTCCCTCTTACGCGCCAAACACTAATCAAAAAGTTCCGAATGTTCTTAGATTTTATAAGGCTTCTGGAATCATCAATCGTCTACAGTAAAACTATCTGCTTCGCAAATACTGCTTTTATTTCACTTCTAACTGCGAAACAACACGTAATCCGTCCGACGTTAAGTCACGCACATGTGGCCACGGAACAGGGTAGCTATGATAGTCTTCTGTTAACAATAATAGCTTCGAGCCATAGTGTGGGCGCTCTGTGCTTAGGTCCTCGAATTGATGGCATGGCTTTCGTTTAACCCTAGTACAAAGGCTCCCTCTACCAAGCATAATGCCAGGCGTAGTCTGACAGACTACTTTGGGTAGAAAAAAAGAAAAACTCATTTTTACAATGAAACACTGAATGTAATAGATGGATGATATGTATGGAGTTATTATGTAGTATGGAGTTATGAATGGAGTTATAAAACACATTTTAAAGGGTTTTTTTTTAGATACACCTTAACGACTTGAATCTCACAGCAGACTCTTGTTTGGCGCTGCCCACAAATGGATTTTGAGAAGCGTCTGCAGGAGTAACTTGTCACGTGCCCTATATTATGATCGCCATTGTCCCTGTATGACTGATAAATGTGTAGAACAAAACTTAAATGCTACAAGACAAGAAGTTTGTATTCATTATATACAATATTAGCCAATAAAGCACTAAATAGGAGTATATCACTGATGTAACTACAGAGGCGTAGTCTATTAGACGACGCGTGTGAAAATGGCGTTTTCTGGATATAGGCACGAGCACAACGATACGTGTATTTTACTGGCTAGTCATACAATGAAGGTATCATAGGTTAGTTTCAGAAACGGAGTGAGGAGAAGGAGGTGGGGGAAGTGAACGGCACTATTTGCGTCGTGTCAGTCGGCGCCTTTGCAATCTAGGGTTAACTGGGCAACCCGCTTTACATGTATGCAATACACCATTTCGTCTTGCCAGCAACCCCTGCAATTAAGGGGAAAAGGCAAGAGGAGGAGTCAATAGCAAGGAGAGTGAGAAGGAGAATAAGAGATACGGAAAAGAAGTAAAAAGACGTATATGTAGTAATTCTACATCACATACCCTCTCGTATTATTGGCAACGAATGTTCTATCCCACTAATACTTCGGCCACACGAAAATTGCAAACGATAAAACTCAAAATTACGCAAAGACTACTAGCATTTGGAATTATACGTGCATGAAATGCTATAAAGATTTAATATTGAAAAATATTCTGCACGAAGAAAGAAACCGCTGATTTCAGTTTCAGGGGGTAAGGGAGATTCGAGACAGTTTTGTACGTTCTCACCAGATAACTCACAGTTACGCGAAAACTATTTTTAAAACATTTACAATAAATAATTTAAATATCTTATATTGAAAACTAAATTGCATTATAAAACCAGAAGTACTATATCGGTATTAGTACTTTCCTGCATTATCTGCAAACTTTGAAATATTCGACAATTCAGAGTTCAATAAAAATTGAGACTGTGTAATTTTTATAAGCGTACTTTCCATGGGCCAAGAGAAATGTAGAAGAAACAATTGGGGACGTGTTTTTGAGAAAATCTTGTTTTTCAAATTTTTACGCAAAATTACACGAAAACTACTCAAACCAGTATTTTCAAAAAATTGTACATGATCACATTTAAATATCTAATTTTGA